GGGTGGGAGGTCCGCGTCGTGGGTAGCGGAGGGAAAGGAGGGCGAGTGAAGTGCCAGGTGTTGGAGAAGCTGCCTGGAAGCTGCTTGGGTTGGGAGCAGCCGCAATGGGAAGGGAAGGGTCCGCTCTTGTGCGGCAGGAGCGGGCTGGAAAATAGGCTGCGAGCTGTGCGGCAGGGGAAGGGGCTCCCCTCGTAGCCCTGGTCCCTCTCTGCTTTCTGAGGTGTCGGGTTTTTTATACATATGGAAATAAACATAGACTCGTAGGCTGGAATATACATTTCAATATGCCCTTTATTTGATGTGCAGAATCTCTTTAACCTGACTACACAGAGTGAGCAGTTTCCATGGTTTTCCTTTCTTAGAAAGTTTCATTCTTTCCTACCAAGTAGCAAAAATAAACTTCATTAAGGGCTTATAACCTTGGGGCAAATAACCTTGGTATGAAAAGGCTTTGTAAGTGCAAATGCATCACGCTTTTGGTAAATATAATTAACATTATAATTAAACAGATGTAGGTGAGGTTTTGCAGTGTGTTTTTGCTGTCTAAATGAAACTTTCATACTAGATGCATGAATTCTTTCACATCATCTGGCTTTTCCATTTTCTATGATCTTGGTTAGGCATTATTGTTGTTTTTTTTTAAATTCAGATCCGCCCGCAAGGCTTGGTATTTGCTGCCTCTGATATCTGTGAGAAGTGAGGGAGAGAAAAACAATATGTGGAACACCATATAAGTAATCTTCAAGCGAAAGTTGAAGGCACTGTGAAGTTACTTTATTGAAAGAGGTGCTTAAATGTTACTGCCCTTATTCTTCCTATTCATGACTTTCCTCTGCATTGTGTTTAGTGTGTTTTTTAAGGGAGAAGATGTCTTCTCAGGTGTCCTTGGTAAATATCCAGCAACTCTTGTGTATTTGAAAGCAACGGTTTATAGACATCTGTGCTGAAAATCCAGAGGGTATCGGTTTTGTTCTCTCTTCTAGAGCCCCTCTTAGGAATTTTTATCACAGAACCGAGACCTTATTTTCCTTCCAGTACTGCAAGTCATGAACGTGCCTTTCCTTATGTACTAGTTAGAATGCAGTGGGCTTTTGAGTTACTACACTGGTAAATACCAGGAATGTGTAATCTATTAAATGGACTGTTCCACCAGTTTTCAGCCTTATTTCTAGTAAGGACAGTTTATATTGTGTGTGATAAATTGACATTTCTTTTCTAAAATTTCATTTTGTTTAACCTTAGTAATACTTTTTGAGATTTTTTTGTATGTAAGGGAGGGAAAATGTGGTTGTATTGATTTTGGTGTCCTGTGTGGATATATGCTCCCTTAAAAACTGTTAATGATACATGTTACCTATGTACTTGAACCACTTTTGCATTCATAGCTGACTTTTCCTATGACAGAAGTTGCAGGGGGAATCTAAAAATCATTCTTTTTGAGCATTTCAGTTGTTCATGAAATGCTTGAAATACCGAATCAGGTGGCACAGCATCTTATAACAAATCTTTTAAGCCAGTGCTTGTGAAATTATTTATTCTAAAATGTTGTACCAGACTTTTTTAATCAGACATATGAGCATTCAATGTGTTTTTGTGTGGGCTTTTTTTTTTGTGTTGTTTTTTTTTTTTTTTCTCAGTTGTATGCTCTGCATGTCTATAGTTAGGATTCATGCAAGATGTTTTTCAGTTGTCTTAAATAAAAGTATTAAAGTGATATCTTAAGGACATGCTAGGTAGAGGTTTTTTGAGTTTTGACATTATGGGTTTTTTTCAATGCGTTTAATACATTTCCCTCTCTACCCACCATCTTGTGAGTATACATTTACAGAGCAGAACTGTGGTCTGCTCCCCCTCCCCTTTTGTCTTCTGTTTGTTTTTTTTCCCCTTCTCTCTTAAGTGCTTTGCTCTGCTAAATTACTGTTAATTAAAATGTGGTAATGTATTAGGCAGTGTTAGCTCTGATTTGTGTATCATAACTGGAATGGCTGAGTTCCGATTACAAGTGCAAGATGTTACTCATGTAATATATATGAGTACAAGGAATTAGTGATCCTGCTGCTTCAAAGTAGAATCATTATGACTTTGCTATGCAATTTTATGCATTTATGTGAAATAACAACTTTATCTTTTCCCCTACAGGCAGAGTACAACATTTCAAAATGCCGGAGATTATCTGGGTGAAGCTGGAGATTACATTTAATGTGATCGTGTCTTCAGACATTCTGCTCCTGCATTTCATGAGCTAAAATCTTTTATAAAAATGAAATCAGATACCTTCACTGATCTCCAAGCTAACGGTGTCCTGTGAATTCAGGGAAGACTTTCTGAAGGAGGAATAAATTCATTGCATACATGGACCTCTGTTGTTGCTCAAGGATACAGCTTTTTTTTGTTTTTCATTCGAAGAGGCTATCTATGGGAAGATGAGTCTGCACTTCAGATATTATCTGTGGAATTAAGTGAATGAGGATACCGTTAATGAGTTACCAACGTTTATTTCCATCTGTGTTTCCAGCTTTTTTAATTTTAAATACATAAACATGAAGGACAAGTATAAAACAGCAGAGCTGATGTATTTCTGTGAGGCCTTTATGTATGCCTCTGTAGTCTGGATGTGGTGCTAAAGGACAGGCAATCTGCTTTTGATCAGCTGTGACTGTGGAAAGAGACCATTTAATTTAAACTAACATACAGCTGAAATTATTTTACTCTTCAGCTTGCACAGAATGAAAGGGAAAATTAAGGGTGTTTTACTGAACTAAGAAAGGGAAAGTTACATTATCCTTGTTTTCATTTCAATGTATTTTTCTTAGAATTTGACTACTAGGGAGATCTCGACAGAGTAAAGCAAGTCAGATGTCAGCAAACGACTCTTCTCCCCCATCCTTACAGAAGTTTTCCCCACCTACATGTCATGCTGCTGCACCACACACCCCAAGTTTGTCTTCAAGTCCCCAGTCGGGGCTCTCCAGTCGACTGTCCAATGGCAGTTTCAGTACCCAGAGCCTTACCAACTCCCGAGGCTCTATGCATGGGGTCTCTTTCCTTCTGCAGATTGGTCTCACTCGAGAGACTGTCACCATTGAAGCTCAGGACCTGTCCCTCTCTGCTGTTAAAGACCTCGTGTGCTCTATAGTTTACCAGAAGGTATGGTATAGTACTATCACATCCTGCTGATGGCCACAGTTGTTTTGTAACATACTGCTAGTGATTACACGTGACTGGAATGTGCCAGGAAGTTTGGTACAGTGACAAAGATCCCATGTTTGCAGTTATGCACAAAGAAATTTTGTGAACTTCCGAGGTAGAAGCTCTTAATTTAAAAGGAGTTGCATGCCTGTGAAATCTAGTGAAAGATGTAGTAGTACATTTTCTGCAAGAGCAAGTTTTCAGAGTATGGAGAATTTTTTTTTTTTCTTTTTAGTGATTGTCACTGCTATGTTAGGTTTTTACTAGTTTGTGCTTGCTACTTTTAAGGAGTATTCTTGGAACAGTGTAGCCAGCTGTAATGAAAGGACCAATTGTGGCTACAGAACTGCGCTGCAGGCCTGCAGGCTTGAATGATACTAGCTTTTCTTTTTCTTTCTAGTTAATAATTAAAAACCCCACCAAACAGCTAGTACTGGCTTAGTATTGTTATGCCACATAAGGAATACATGCATTGCTCTTGTGTGAGAGAACTGTTATCAGCATAATTTCTATTAAGAGAGGGTTTGCATGCTGTTCAAATGTGTCTTAGCTAAGCTGTTGCAAATTCTGACTCTCTAGCAAGGAAATAACATTGATCTTGCTGTTTTTCCATCCAGGCTTTGTATTTGTTCAGGCTAGGTAGGTTAGATCCTACTGAACAACCTGAAGAGTAGTTAATATTGTTTCATAAAATAATGAGGAAATAATTTCTCTTTTCTGTCAAGGTGAGGGGTGCATGAGAGGGAGCGAGTTCGACATAGATTATTTTTGAAGGAATTGTTTTCTCTGTGTCTTTCATAGTTGTAATTGGTATTTATAGTTCATTAGTTTTATTAGATGGCTCTTTTTTTCTTAATAGTGTGAAAGAAAGTAAATGCAAACATTCCGTGAACTCTAATTTGCACATGCTTGTGTATTTTTTTTTCCCCATCTCACAATTTACTGCATCTTCCATTTTTTTACAAAATAGTTGGCAAGCAAGCTGGTTTCATAATATCTTTATGGGCTACCAAGATGTAGTTCAACACGTTAGTTACCTTCTGAAGAATCAAGTTATTTGGGTAGTTTTTTTTCTCTGTACCATGCATGTTTCGTGCACTTTTTTGCAGCCATTTTAGGGGCCCCTATTGCTTTCTGTATCAACTCCTTTTTGCGTCTGCATGTTTCCTGTCTTCTATCTTGAAGAAAGGTGAAAACAAACAACATTCACACTTTTCCCTTTCTGTTCTTTTGGCAAATGTAGCTAAAAATCTAGCACAGGGTCTTCTTATAGCTCAAGAAACTTCTCATATGCTGAGCCTAGACTGTTGAAGAACTGATGAGGGTTTCACAGTTGGTTTTCTTCCTTTGTCTTGCTTTCAGTCAGTTTATGCTCCTGCAGCTGATGGTACCAGTAAGTGACTGCTCAGTGAGAACATGTTTGCAGGAAGCAAACTGATCAGGAAACAACCTTATGTGCGGTGGATTCATCTTTCATAAGTAGTTCTGCAGCTAGTGCACAAGTGTCAATATCCTCCCTCCACCCTCTATTTGACAGCCATATGTCCTGCCCTGACTATTTTTTCCTCTTAGATCTGGTGACTGCTGCAAGCATATAAAATAATCTAGTATCGATATATAGATCGTTTTGTATTTATGTAAAAAGAGTAAACTCTCTTTTCCTGTATGCTGTCATGCATGTGGCTGCCTTTTTTTTTCCAGTTGAAAACTTTGAAGCTACTTGATGTACCTTTGAGATTCAACAGTGTTAAAACTTCCCTCTCCTTTGGTGTTCCAGAACCTGCTTGAATTGTGTTTTCTTGTCTGATTCCTGGCTCTTAACTTCAGGGTACTATACAGTTTTTTCTTGTGATAGTTGTAAAGTTAGCAGTGCCTATTTACTTTTGAGCTTCTTTAATGAAAATGGAGAAATACTTTTTTTTTTTACTTAGAATAATGTATAGGGTTTTTTTTGAGTGGTATCTTTGGCAGAATTAAATGGAAGTTTCCTTACTAATTTTTAATAGTGCTTTTAAATCACATTTCAGCCTTGCATTTCTCTACATATCTGGAACAAAAAAAAAGTTTCAGGTATCCTTCCTCATTTGCTTGGGAGCTTGAACTGCCTGCTGAAATTTTCTTTCAGGCTATAATGGCATTATCAAAATTGATTGATTAGGTCTGACAGCAGATCTCTGAGGAGGCTGGATTTTAACCTTTGTAAAAGTAATTACAGCATCCTCATAAGTTTTCGGTAAAGCAAATTATCCTTTACCTTTATTTCTTTCAGGACATATTAATAAACTAGGGGAAAAATCATCCTGCAAATGTCTATGTTGGAGAGCAATTTAGTTAAGAAATAAGCACTGTATTTACCTAGTGGGTTTTCATAGCACTTTCTGTATTGCCAGTCTTGCTGTGTTATTGTGGTCAACTGTGGTGCTTTGTGCTTCAGACACTACTTTTTGGTGCAGCTTGTTGGGATTTTGCAAAAGGATAATTAAAAGTAGCATCAGCAGAACTGAAACTGATGATGTGTCTGCGGGGAGAGTTAGATGAGTAATGCAAACATTTGATGTGTCTGTTAGCTCTGTTTAAAAAGCTGTAAACTTTTTAAAGTTAAATTTGGAGAACACTGTGTTAGGGCTATTGTATATTAGAATGCTTAAGAGAAGTCCTCAGAAAAAACCAACACTTTAAACTTCATAGGGATGCTTCAGAAGTTTTTGTATATAGTCTCAATCTATCTTCTCTGTTCATTCCTCATCTAGATTGCTGTATATTAAAGTACCCTACATATGGTTGGTTCTCAGGACGAGTGTGAAGATGTGCCAAGGCATGAACAGATACAACTGCTACACTATAGGGAGTGTGTTTAGAAGCAGAGAAATGTATAACATAAGTTGCAGATGAACAGTGTGTGTCCTTGCACAATAATCAGATATTACAGAGGCGAGTTCTTGGTCCTTTTTTGTGTTTAAATACAGTTGTTTCTTTCCTCACATGAGAGGACATGAAGCAGAACATAGGGCTTATTAGCTTAAAACTACAAATTCATGTGTGGTGATGCTCTACTGCGTGCAAACTGTGAATTGGACAGCATGCTATAAAGGCTTTCTTCTATTTTATTTATATTGTTCTAGTTAAACTAATAGCTATAAAGTAAAAACAGTTGATTGTTCTATACTATTACTTGTATAGAATCAGTGCCTGCGAGATTTATCAGAACTTTTTTCTTAAACTTAGAACTATTTAATGATTCGGAAACTTGTCTTACCTATGTTTTTCCTATAAACCTGTCCCTCATTCTTCTAATTTTTGGTCATATTTTTGAGTCAAATTCTGCATGTTCCATCTTTACGTGCTTTTCTTCCAATGGCTTTGCTACATTTTGCTTTGAAATAGGACAGTTGCCTTCCTATCTTTGGAGCTTTGCCTGAAGTTCTTGTGATCTTTTCTAACTGGTGCCTTCTCTTTGATTTGAGTACTGATACACTGTTTAGCTGTAGAATCTGTTTCTTAATCTTCCAAACTAGTTCTTCTTTTTCCACTTCACTGAACTCACCCAAATGGTCACCACTTAGCAAAACCAAAGGGATATTTCTTACGTATTACTGATTAACAAACGTCTCTGAGAGTTTTCTTCTATATTTTCATAACATGGTGCTCTCATATGTCTTATATTTAAAAAGAAAAGAGCAAGATGAAGCTTATTTTTCTCACTCTCTTCCTCTCTGCCCTTATATAGCACTTGTGTTTCATTCATGTTCACTGCACTTGTTTATCTTTTTTTTTTGAACTTCATTGAGTATTTTTTTGTCTATCTTGTGTCATCTCTAGTTCATCTCCAAAGGTAATTTTTCCTTCCATGATCTGCATGTTTCAGTCATGTTCTTAAGCCCTCTCCACCAACCATGTTTAAAGTTCTGCTATTATTGAACTCTTCCATATGTGGTACATTTTGTTTTGGTTTATTGTTTTTTTTTCAAAGTAGTCTTAAAATTGTCTTGCTTATGTATAGGCTTTAAGCCCTTATTTAGCACTTGTTGCGTTCATCTTGATCTCTGCAACTCCTGTGTTTGGTGTCTTTGCCTTTGCTAGCAATGTTTTTGTTCTCTAATTTTCCTTCATCCTAACATGGTCACTGTCTTTCAGCTGCAGGTGTAATTAATTGTCTGTCTCTCAACAGCAAATTAATGGTTTTGTATAATCTCATTTCTACTTGATTGCTGGTTTTCTTTGTGTTTCTTTGTTCTTTTTTTCTTTCTGTTTTTTTCCATGTTGGGTTTTAGAGTCATCATTACTATTACTATTACTAATGTTAACTCCTTGATTGTTTTCTGCCACATTATGCTGTTTGGCTTGCCTGAATTCAGGCTTTAGTCTGTCAATACTGACTTGCACAGGTACTTAACATGTACACACGTATTTTTATTTCTTCAAGATTCTGATCTGTATAGGGTGTTGAGAAGACAATCAGTGGAAGTTATAGCTGTGATTAACAGGAGTTAAATTTTGCATATTACACCTGCTTGTCAGTCTTTCCTACTGTTTCTGTAGTTTCATACTTTCATTGTTTTTATAAATATTGTAGTCCTGGTACATTGAATTCCCTGGTCAGTAATTTGAGTAATCTGAACCAAATGTGATCCTGTCAGTACCTGTGCACTTTTTGGATATTTTGTATTAATCAGCTGTGCTCATATCTCTTTCCCCTTGTTGATCTGCCTTCTTGACTTGTCATCTGCATTCTTCATATGAGCTAAGTAAGGCAGCAGAGTAAAAGAGTTGAGTCATGAGAAGATGTGGGCTGTGGAGTTCTGGGGGCATGGAGCTGATATGTGCAGGGCAGACTAGCATTTCCAGCAAGGTAGTAGATTTGTGTGCTGGAAAACTTGGCCAAGCAGTAGTCCAAGTATGTCTGCACTAGAGACATCTGGTGAGAGAAGGATCTTGTGCAACATGTTTGAAGCTAATTGCCTGTGTGATAATGTGATTTGGCACACAATTCTAAAGAGTGGGAGTGAATAGCTGGGTAGGGATACAGGATAATAGATTGGAGTAATTTCAGTGACCAAAGGCTTTCCAAGGTAATGGGTGTTTTGCACCATTAGACTTTGGAATTAACTTTTGGTGGTTTGAAGCATTTGTTTTCAGTTATGATGGGTCATGAGATATTGGACCTTGAAACAATATCCGCCTACACTTTTCCCTAGTGTGAATTTTTGGCAACTGGTCCAGAACTTTGTAAAGTAAGTCCTGGGACTTGAAGTAGAGGGATTTTTCAGTTACTGCCAGGATAGAAAGAAACCTCATTTCTGTTTTGCTCCAGCAGAACTGGATGCTGTATATTGAGTTCTGGGTTAAAAGAATGGTGTAATGTACCATCAATTAAAGCTAGACATACTGTAATACTTACAGTATAAGCATTCTAGATAATAGCAGGGGTTTTTTTCCCTCAGTGTAACTGCAATAATGCAATCGTAATGTTGCTATAATACCACCCAAGCACAAAGGATTACATATATTCTTTATGTAACTTGGTGATATTGGTGTACTAGAGATTAATTTTGGCACAGTCTGTTGCATCTATAGACTTCTAGTAAGTGATTTCCTGTAGTTAGGTGCTCTTTTGAAACTCTTAACGCTGGAAATGGTCTCTTTTTGCTGTTAGGAAACAGTAATACTGGGATTAGCAGTTTGTGTTCTGTGTCACTGTGCAGATACTTTGGGCTTTTATACAGGAAAGTAATAGCTGTATAACCCTGTAAGATAGAGCAGGCTTAAAAAAATTCTGCTTTGAGTTTTGTTTTCAAGTTTACATTATGAGCTCTTAACACTTCAAGGGAACTGGATAGTGTTTCTTAACAGCTTCATAAAACTGAGCTATAGAAGCTGTACTTCGCTGCAGTACAAGAGGGAAAAATTTGGTAGGGTACAGCTTGAACATAGTTGAAGCTTTGCGTAAAATTCTGTTAAAAGATACCACTTGAAATAAAAGCCTTGTTAATCGATGAGGTTATTCTTGGCCAGCAGTCCACACATAGTCTTCTGGGAGCGGAAGAGAGAGCAGTGTGCTCCAGGTCTGTAAGGAGCCAAGCTGTTTGCACAGCTTCCCCCACCAAAGACCAGCCAAGGGCCCTAGATGGGGGCTCTGACAGGCCACCTGCAGCTTGTCAGGGCCAGCCGTGCAGAGGAGAGGGCAGCCAGCCAGTGCTTCCATTGCTCGGGTGCACAGGACTGTAGTGGGGGCAGAGAGGAGAGGAATCTGAGCTGAAGTGTGTGCAAAGGAGCAGCCCAGACAGGCATCTTTGTGTTAGGGTTTGTTCTTTTATAACAGGGAAGTCACTGGGGGCGTGTGCAGGGAAAGGACAGGGCTTGTTAGTCAAACTTGAAAGGTATTGTTAGGGATGACTGAAGCCAACAGCCTCACTACACCTGTCCCTGTTGTGGGTTCAGGAAAACCTTGTAGCAACTGCAACTCTGTAGTACCAATGAACAGATTATCGCTATTCTGATGCTTTTTGGTTTTGGAATTACGGTTTCAGAAATGGAGATTAGTTAGCCATGCATGATGAATAGAAAAATGTGTACTGGGTGAAGTCTCACGTATATGTAGAAACTGTAAACAGAGTGTGTGTTTGATGATAGACTTCTTGAAATAAGTACTAGCATAGATTATTGTTAGTCTTGTTAGACCTGTGCTTGCGATTCCACATCTAGTCTTGTGGTTCTGCATCTCACCCTAGAAGCTACTGATCAAGCAGAAGCTTGTAAATAGAGGAAATACTTTTTATGAGTTTAAATATTATGGTTACAAAACCAGACAACCTCTCACAGTAATTTCATCCATGTGTAGGTACACTTGTTTTGAGAGAACAGTCAGGCATGTCACTACAGTATTGTAAGTATTCATAATGCAAAGATTAAGAGGTCAATTTAATTTACCTAGAGCCAAATAAGGAAGTTGATGCCAACAATTCTAATATAGTATAATGCAGTACAATAGATTTTTTTTTTTACAGCACTTATATTCCCTCATTTTTATAATTATTACACTTCCTGCCAAAAGGAGGATTTGAGTATTCGTCTGTAACTTTTTATTGTGTGAGCTAATGCTTTTTAGTCACCAAAATTACTGTAGTATGTTTAAAACATTTTGATAAATCCAAGATTTTTACATAAGAATGAGTAAATGGTGCACATGCAGAATACATATATCTTAGCATTTAAAGTAAGTGCATCTTGGTATGTGATTATATGACCTCTGGCTCCTGGTGTGAAGGATTATGTGTAGGGATGTTCTGGCAGCTGCAGGATAAGTTTATGGTCTCCAAGAATGAAAAAGAGAAAAACAGACTTTTATCTCAAGAAGGAGACTTAAACCTCTGAAAGATTTTAGAGGTTCTGTAAAATATCTGGTTTGTAGGTGATTCTGTGAGCTTAATACAAAGATGCAATAGTTCACACTGATTCTCTGAATCATCTCTTGTCCCTCCTGGCAGTTGGAATTAGTATGAGTATTAATAAAGTGCAATGCTTATCTACAGGCACATGCATGCCATATTAATGTTGATTTTTTTCTCTCCCTTTTGTTAGAATTAAGGTTTTCAGAAACATGATGCAATTAATATACCATGAAGGCAAGTAATCTTGAGGATTCAACTGATTGTAGTATTGATGTGGTAGCTTCCTCTTGTTGGAACTAGCATTAAGATGTGATGCCAACCTAATTTTGCATATAGTATCAAAGAATAAAACCTCACAGCACTTATTAAAAAAATGTAGATATAATGTTTTTCCTTGTTAATTGAGGAACAGTAGAATTTTGAGTTAGACCTTAAAGCAGGTTTATGTGCAGTTTCAAGTATGAAGAACTGTCAGTTCCCTTAGAAGAATGACTAGTGTGCTAGATCTATGTATTGTTGTCGGACCTGAGTCAAACTGTGACAGTTCTGAATATAAAATCAAGTCCTGTGCATACTTGCAGAGATACTGAGGCACATATTTGGCAACATATCTAATTCTCAGGCTTTTTATTTGCTTTTCTAATACAAATAAGAGTTGGGAAATTGGAAAAATAAAATGTTCAGAATATTTGTGGATATTTGCCATTTATCAATATGAATCAGTAGATGAGTGTACTGAAACGAAGCATAAGAGAGGAGTTATTACAGGTAGTTCCAGATGACCTCAGGGATTTTTAGCAGTAGTATTTTATATAATAAAGGTTTAAAAAAGCATCTGGCTTGGGGGAATATAATGCTGTTGTCGTATCTGTAACATCATGGCTTTTCTACAGTGTACAAGATGGTATAAAATGTATGTAGGGAACATAAATGTAGAGTGAGCTGGGAGACAAGGGAAGCAGCCTACTGCTTTGGCATCAGTCCAGGAAATCAGTTTCTTGGTGCTGTGGATTAAATATCTCCTGACGTAGGTGTGATTTTTGTTAGGCCCGTCTTTTGCTTTTGCCTGGGTTATATGACAAATTCTGCCTCTCTTTGTGACTAAGTATATAGCATACTTTCCAGAGCATGAGGATTCTTCAGTGTTCTGTGTAATATAAATGTATATGGTGCACGTGCCAAAACCAGAGAAGGCCACTTTAAAATTTCAGATGAAATTGCTGTCAGAAAGAGGAATTTATTTTCTATCTGAATGGGAAGGGACTGTGAAGGCAATGGACGTGACAGATACCTTCATTATGACTTTGATTTGGTGGAAACAAATCTTTGCTTTAGTTAAAGACAACTAATATACCACAAGCTGCATGTGTGTTTCACTGTTACTTGGTGACTCTGCAAGATCTAAATTACCGAAGTATAGTCTGTTACTTAATTGAATGTTTGTGTGCTTTTCCACATTTTTTCACAAATTCTTCCTAATTTCTTATGTGAAACACTTTTCTGTGTGTGTTCCCATCTCAAGTTTGAATTTGGTTTAAACAAAAAGACCAAAGGAGCTGGTGGATTGGTGCTCATTCTTCTCTAGGGTCTATTTCTGCTCTTTTTCTCCATAAACTCTTTACCCTTAAGCTTTTAATTCTAAGAAGTTTTATACTTGACAGTATCTTGGAGAGTGGGGAAAACACAGAGTAAGAAAACTATGTTCAGGGAAGGGTCATGGAAAAATGGCATGTTACTTAATGTATCTATTCCCTATATAGATTTGCTGTATTCTCTTCTGTCCTTGTGGGGAATCAAGTTTTTATTTTCTTGAGCCTCTCTAGGCTTGCTTCTTAAGAGAAGACTGGCAGATGCTGCTGGAATGTCTTCAGCTGAATGTCTGCCTGACCAGAATGTCTGTGAAATAAGGGTTACAGGTGGTGCTGTCTGAGTTAGGAAGATATGCATTGGCTTTCACATACCAGACTGATTATGCAGGTCTGAGAATTTAAAAATTCAAAGGAACAAAGCCCTAACAATTTTTCGTTTCAGGTTTGGAAAAAAGCATCAGTGTTGGTGGAGGGGAACAAAGAAAATGGGTTTTATATGTTTTGTTTTGGTGTGGGGTTTTTATTTTTAGTTCTTTACATTTTCATTTCAGAAAATACTTTAGTTATTAGAAACAAGCAAATTGATTTTGTTTTCATGGAACGCTTTAAACATTTAAGTTTTGTAGCTGTTACAGAAAACATTTATGGATAGCATTATCAAAGAGCATGCGTTAATTTAGAGTTTGCTTTCTATTGCAGTTCCCAGAGTGTGGTTTCTTTGGCATGTATGACAAAATTCTCCTCTTCCGTCATGACCTGAACTCAGATAATATTTTGCAACGAATTACATCAGCAGAAGAGATACATGAGGGAGATCTTGTTGAGGTTGTGCTCTCTGGTAGGTATTGTTGTAACAGTGGACATGCTTCAATAGATGAAAAAAAGATAGAACTTTACGACTTTATAGAACATTATTACCCTGCTTGCCTTGAGCTCTTTGGCACAAGTCTTACACTAGCTCACTGTTTTGGGGTAGAGATTTCCAAGAAAATCCAAGCGTTAATGGTGCTTCCAGCCCTGTAGTTGGCTTTCTTTTGCTTAGGTCTGTTTGTTCTGTAGCTTTTACCATTGATGGCTTATACTGTCAAAAGGCTTCATTAAAAATAGTTGCCGAATCATACGTATAAGGATAAACTTTAAGGGTTATTGTAGTGCTTGAAAACAGTATCTTTTAAACCATAAAGTCCTTAGAGTGGTGGTTATTAACCTGTAATACTCATCAATAACAATGACAAACCCCCAAATCTCACTGATTTGAATTGTGTGTGTTTTATCAATACCCTGTCGAATTCAGCCAAAAACCATCTGCAGTTAAAAAGATAAAAGCTGGACTACTATTGAGTAGTTCTTTCAGACTTTGAGGAATAAGTGCCAAACTGACATTATGTTCTAGGAAGAGATCTCTTGACTGTCATGGGATTAGATTTATAAATTGGATCAATAAAGTATTCCAAGTCATAAGGCTGAGTACCTTGGCTGCATTTCAGGACCTACTGTTCTAGGCCTGTCTAGGGTTTTCAGCAGTTGATCACCTTGGGTTGAGCTTTTAATTGCTTCTGGTGAATAGCATATTTGGAAAAGCGTGTGCCTCTTCTTGACAGTCTCTGACAGACCATCAGAAACTGAGGTGTTTCGGAGACGTGTCAGTGTCTTTCACTAGGGTTTTAAAACTGAGACATGAGAATCTGGATATGAAGTGTTAGTACCTATTTGATCAAAGAATAGTAGCTATCAGGGCAAGGCAATTTTGGTATGAAATGCTACCTCTCTTTTTTTTTTTTTAACATTTCAAAGAAGCAGGACAAAAATTAATTTGTATCTTTGCTTGTTTAAGAAAAATAACATTACTAGTGAGGTTTCCAGTGTTCCATGGAAACTCTATCCATAGTTCTGATACACACAGAGTTCAATCTAGTAAGCTTTTACTGAAGAAGTCCTTTAGAAGATAAAAATCTAACCTGCAGAGCTGTTCTTCGTTTGAAAATTATATAGGTTACAAAACAGCTTGAGAATTAAGTTGTTTTTTCAAATGTTGACACTTGACTTTAGCAAAGCGTTTTGGTTTCGCCTTCTCAACATGGTGAGGTTTTCAACATCATGACTTATACTGTTGATTAGTTGTGGTCATTAGCTTACAGAATCTAAGCTTCCTCAGTAAAAAACCCGACTGAAAACTATATTCTAAATGGATATTTAAATGGTGTACAGTAAAATGCTGATGTCTGAACAGCTCATTAGTATTCTTTGAGTCTGCCATTTTTAAAACAGCTTATGTTCTTTCCATAAATCCTTGTTGATCCTGTGGCAAGAACCGTAACTTACTGCAATTTTTTAAAAGCTTTGGCTACAGTTGAAGATTTCCAGATTCGTCCTCATGCACTTTATGTGCATTCCTACAAGGCTCCTACTTTCTGTGACTACTGTGGAGAGATGCTTTGGGGTTTGGTACGACAAGGATTAAAATGTGAAGGTAAGTTCATGATTTTTAGTGCCTTTTGGTGTGTGTGTATCTATATAAGATTAGGAAGAAGAAATGTTTTCTTGTTCAGTATGTTAGCAGGCGATAAATGTAGTAGTTTTTTTATAGAGTTGAAAGGGATCATGCATCAGGAAACCCGAGTTCTGATTTTGGCTGTAATGCAAACTGTGTGTGACCTTGGGCAAATGACTTAAGAAGTGTTCTTGTTTCCCATTTTTAAAAAAAGAAAAGAAAAAAAAGCTTGCTTACAAGCGAGTGTTCTTTGCACAAGGAGCATGTGCCTTGGAGAGACTCCCGAAGGGGAATCCCTTTCCTTTTGGTCTTCATCCAGCTGGCTACAGAGTACTCTGCAGCTTGCTGTCAGGTACTGACACTGCCTGCTCACTGGCTTTTCCTTGGCTCGTGTGCTCCAGAGTGAGAAGTGATGAAAGCCTCCTGGTGGGGGAAGAGAACAGTCTTAGACCTTGTTTCTAGAGCTGGACTTACTGGAAACCAACATGATAGCAAGTAGGGCAAAAACCCCTTCTTTCTATGAATAGCATCAAGAACATTAAAATAAGAGAATTTATTTCTGTCTTTACCATTTATCTGGATCATATTTTTAACTGCTTTATCAAAATGCTACTATTATTTCTATTAATCTTGATGTTGGGAGTTTTTTAAATTTAAGAAACCCTCTTTTTCAGGTTGTGGGTTGAACTACCATAAGCGATGTGCCTTCAAGATTCCAAATAACTGCAGTGGAGTGAGAAAGAGGCGTCTGTCTAATGTGTCTTTACCAGGAGCAGGGCTTTCAGTTCCAAGACCAGCACAAGCTGAATACACATCCTCTGCCTCTGAAGAAGTATGTAATGTGAAAAGGGAAACAATTTCTGCTTTTAGATTCTTAAACCTCTGGGGAACTAGGTAGTGTTGCAAGTGGCTCATAATGAATACTAGAGAGTTGAACTTTACCTAAAATCTATCATAATGGTTATTTTTAAATCTGGTGAGTCTTAGACTGTGACACTTACTTGTAACTATGATTACTGTGAGAATTGAAATGGGAAGTAAATTATAACTTTTTTGTGATATTTTGTTAATAGCCTGTTACTCATAGTTGTATGAACTCTGAGAACTTTGGTTTTAGGAATGATAAAACACCTTGTCTTCCTTATAATACAGATTCCTTCTGTAATTGCAGGATCGGTTTAGAATAGTTACTTGGCAAAAGCAGTATAAATTGTAAGCTTTTATGCTGGGTGAGGAGAGAGTGTTTCTGATGTGCTGTTTAGCTTTTCACAGAGTTAATATAAAAAGAACCTGAGCCCTGTGAAGGAGTGTTTAGGAGGATGAAGGGCTTACAGTAAAAACTGTCATCCGTGATAGTTTTTTGTTATAATGGTTATGATGATTGCTGAGGGGTTATCAGTTATACTTCAACTATATTGGGATTGTAAGACAGGGCAGGCAGTGATTAGATCCATTTGTTTTGTTGTTGCTTTCGCCATGGGGTAAAAGCAGTGCTTTTGAACCTTGGTCTTTCCTACATATCTATTACTTTACAGTATAACAGTTCTTACTATAGTTTAAAATATAAATGGTAAAGATTATCTAGCTCAAGACCGTCTTATTTTTTTTAGCTAGAGGCTACAAATCCTAGTATTGAGTCATGAGAAATATTTATAATTATATTGGTTAGACTTATTCAGTGAGCATAGAATTGTAGCTGTTTTTTCTATCACAGAATTTAATGTACTGATTTCTGTATCAATCTGCATGGTTACATGCATGTTTAGTATCTCTTTGACACCTCTTCTTTGCTCTCTGATTTCAAGTACTTGACTTAGAGGATCAGTAATGTATTTTCATATTGGCTGTTCATCTTTCAGCAGGCTTAAAAAGCTTTAGGTCAGATGTACAAAGCTGTGTTTCTTCACACTTTTCTGTAGGTGAAGGTAACTAAGTTTATTCTGCTGAATGTTTAGTATGATACTCAATGTCTTTTTTGTTTTAATTGCTGACATTTTTGTTTTAACTTAATTTCAAAAGTTTTTTTCAAATTATTTTATTTTCTAAATATGTTTGTGTAGCTTAATAAGCTATCCAGGTATGCTGTCCTTTTAAGACTGATAGCTTGAGGTAGGGATTAGATTTTTTGTTTGCTTACCTCTGGTATTTTCCATTTTATCCCCTACATGGAATTCTGTATGTGGTATCTGTGAACCTTGTCAGGATGCTTTTAAAAAAAAAAAAAAGTTGTAAGAATGAATTTTTAGCATTTTAGCTTCTATGAAAATGAAGATTCATGCCTACTTTTCTGCTCTCTGCAAGGCACTTCGGTCTGGTGTTTTCTTGTTTTTTGTTTTACAATACAAGAATGTCCTCTTAAAGCTTCTTGGCCAAGTTGCTTTCTTATCCAGTCTCTTTCTGAGCCAACTCCGCTCTACCGCCCCCACTGAGTGGTGTGATTTTTTGTTGTTGTTGTTTTTGTTTGTTTGTTGTTGTTTTTTGGGAGGGTGTTGTTTTTGTTTGTTTTTTCCTAAAGTAGAATGTATAATAGTTTGTGTGGGAAGGGACCTTTAAAGGCTGTCTAGTCTAACCCCTCTGCAGTGCGTTGGGACATCTTTAACTAGATCAGGTTGCTCAGATCCCTGTCCAACCTGACTTTGAATGTTTCCAGGGATGGGGCTTCTATCAGCTCTCTTGTCAACCTGTTCCAGCGTTTCCACCCTCATTGTAAATACTTTCTTCCTTGTATCTAGTCTAAATCTACCCTCTCTTATTTTAACCATTACTCCATGTTCTGTTGCAACAAGCCCTGCTAAAAAGCCTATCCTTATTTTTCTTATAGGACCCTTTCAGGTACTGAAAGGTCACTGTAAGGTCTCCCTGGAGCCTTCTCTTCTCCAGGCTGAACAACGCCAATTCTCTCAGCCTGTCCTGACTGGAGACGTGTTCTAAGCCTCATTTTTTGTGATCCTCCTCTGGACCTGCTTCAATAGGTCCATGTCTTTCCTCTGCTAAGAACTCCAGTGCTGGATGCAGTGCTCCAGGTGGGGTCTCACTGGTGTGGAGTAGAGGTGGAGGATCACCTCCCTTGACCTGCTTCCCACGTTTCTTTTGATGCAGCCCAGGACACAGTTTGGTTTCTGGGCTGCAAGCGCACATTGCCAGCTCATGTTGAGCTTTTCATCCACTAGTACCCCCAAGTCTTTTTCCTCAGCGATGCTCTTCATCCCTTCATCCTCCAGCCTGTATTGATACTGGGGATTGTGCCAGGCTGTGAGCAGGAGCTTGCACTTGGCCTTGTTGAACCTCATAAGGTTCCCATGAGCCCACTTCTCAAGCTTGTCCAGGTCCCTTTGGATGACATCCTGTCCCTCATAGATATCAACTGCACATTGAGCCAGTGACCACTACTCTCTGGATGTGCCCATCCAAACAACTCGTCATCCACTGAACAATCCACCCATGACATCCATATCTCTCCAATTTAGAGAGAAGGGTGTTGTGGGGGACTGTTTCAAAGGCCTTATGGAAGTCCAGGCAGACAACATTGATAGCCCTTCCCTTGTTCATTCATGTGGTTACTCCATCACAGAAGGCCATTATATTGGTCAGGTAGGACTTGCCATGCTGGCTATCTTGATATCTTGATTTACCCCCCTGTCCTCCATGTGCTTTAGCATAACTTCTAGAAGGATCTCTTCCATGTTCTTCCCAGGTACAGAGGTGAGGCTGACAGGTCAGGAGTTCCCAGGGTCCATCTTTCTACCCTTTATAAAATGAGTGCACTGTTTCCCTTTTTATGGTCGCCAAGGACTTCACCTGACTGCTATGACCTTGAAAAATCATGGCAAATAGGATTGAAATCCTGTATTACCTTCCTTATTCCAGCGCTGCTGCCCAGAACCTAGTAAGAGGATTCCTTCCTGGAGTGGCCGACCCATCTGGATGGAAAAGATGGTGCTTTGCAGAGTAAAGGTTCCACACACCTTTGCCGTTCACTCGTACACTCGCCCCACCATATGCCAGTATTGCAAACGTCTCCTCAAGGGACTCTTCCGCCAAGGAATGCAGTGTAAAGGTAAACATTTAATTTTCTGCTACAGCAATAAATTTCAGTAGAGGTCTTGTATTTAAAATGGAGTTCAACTTAGGTTTTGGTTGTCAGAAGGTTGTATACAGCAAGATGGGGCAGTATAATTTTTGAAAAATTGCATAGTTTTGAGAGGATTACAGCAGCCCTCATTTTTATTTTAGTAGACTGCATTGTACATTTTTCTGAAAAATTTAATCACATGTAGGTCAGGAACACCTTAATTCTAGAAGGATAATTCTAAATTAATAAAAATGGGAGATATTGCACTTTGTTCAATGTCTTTTAGATAGATCACTAAAGAATTTGTAAGGCTTTTTTTACATTATTCTATGACAAAGTTATGGAGGTAGATGCCTTTTCTGAACTAGCTTAGACTTCATCAGCTGCATGGTTTTCATTTAGCATATACTAAGACACATGACTTCAGTTCCCTCACTCTTCCATGCAGTTCCTACGGCATAACTATGAAATTGGGATCCTCTTCCAGCTCTTTATCACTCGATAGCACAGATCTGTTGACCTTGTTGCAGGAGAGAAAAGGGTAGTGATATGTCATAAACATTAATATGGAAAGAAATTTCCATTTCTCTCATGTGAGTTTGCCAAATGCGAGTACCAAAGCTCAACATTTTGGAAGAGGTTGCTTAATACATTTTCTGTTTCCTTTAGTAGAAGAGGATAAGAAGTGTAAGCTTGTAGCTGTATTCTGTTTTCTTTTGACTAAAAATACTGCTGTCTCATGTAAATAAGGACGTAATTTTATTTTTCATCTCTGTTTTTATTAATTTGCAGTCTTTGTAGTCTGTTTGAAGTTTGTATCCTGAACTGGTTTTGATTTTATTTTCAGTCAGCGTGTCTCTTGGATACATGTAATACATAAATAATGAAGGCTGAAAAAGATGCTTTGCAGTTTTAACATATAGATGCTACTGACCATACACTGTTGTTGTGACTGTATAACGACATAAACAAATTGGGCTACCACATCAGTTTCAGGGAAGTGAATGACACTGAATGGAAATAGCATTTATGTATGGAGAAGAACCCTGGAGGAAATGTTACATGTATGCACAAAACAGAAATAAGTGTATTAATAGGCTTTCACGTATGCAGTATGATCCGATACGTATTTTTAATATATCCCTGGAAGCATTCAAGGCCAGGCTGGATGGGGCTCTGAGCAGCCTGATCTAGTGGGAAGTGTCCCTCTCATGCAGGGGAGTTGGAACTCGATGATCTTTTAAGGTACCTTCCAACTCTAACCATTGTATGATTCTGTGATCAGCAATTGATATGAAACAATCAAAATATTTTCATACTGATTTATCCTACAGATTCTTAAGGTTTTCCTCCGACTTCCTTGTGCGCATTCCTAAAACTTGAGGTCTTTCAGCAGTTCCATGTTCCTGAGTACCCATAAGAGCCCTGGATTTCTTGAATGTATCCAGGCTTCTACTTGGACTCTGAGGATGATCTTGGGATGTGAAGGCTATATTTGTGGTAGTAAATTAAACATGCCCAGCAACATTCCTTGAACACGGAGGTCAAATGGGTCAAAATGACTCATGTTCATGAACAAGTTTTCTTAGCATTCCAAGCTGTGTGGCTGTGTGCAGACTGCCTATGGGGAACAGTTTCATGGGATGCTCTGATCTATGAACTAGGCCTGAGAACTTTTTGGGATTGTGCTAATGCTGTGGGCCAAAAGCATGCTAGGGGAGGTTTCTGTTTACTGGACTGGAGAGTTGCATTGCAGTACCCAAGAAGATTTCTGGGCATAATTCAGTTTATTAGGAGTGACTGGCTCTTAGTTGTTCTAGTTCCCTGGTAGGGTTTGGAATGTCTCTGTTTCTTCCAGCCCTCTTCAATCTGGTGAAATAACCATATTTTGTAATATAGACTGAAAATACTGTGATAGAAAGGACAACTTGTTGGTCTCCTAGGATGGACTCTTTTAGGCAGTCCAAAGTTGAACAGGATTGTATTTTACTCCTTTGGTTTGGCTTCACTGCTACTAAAAATGGGGAGGTAATGGTTTTTTTCTTGCCTGGGCTTGAAAAGAATGCACAGTGGGCCTCCTTTGGATAACAGAAAGGGGCTAAATTATCAGTTTGAAAAAAGTTGTGGGCACACTTAGGGAGTTTTGAAATTCATTATGTTTATACAGAGTTGAAAATTACAGTGGTGCTTCTAATAAAGGAAATTCCTGTTAATAAAGCTAATGTATGCTTTGTTCAGTAGGCTGCATCTGATACCTTAGAAGCAGAACTGGCAGATATCCAGGTTAGATTCCATCTCCACATCAGACCAGATTTGGACATAACGTTGTTCTGCCTGCCCTGTGTCCGCTGGCAGAAATGGAACTTCAGTGTTCAGCCAAATCTGTAATCTGAATGTTAGGGGAGCTGGACTTTGGGATTTACTGCAGAGCATGTTTGCTCTGTGATGTGGGTGTGTGATCCTAGAGGCTTTGATGGCTGCAAGTCTTAGGCAGCAGGTGGGGAAAAATTAGAGAGATGAGACATTTAAATTATATAGCAGTGGATAAAAGGATGTGGAACGGATGTGAGGATGGGAGAAATTACATCACAATGGAAAAAATAAGTACAGAGAAGGCTAGAGAAGCAGAAAACTTTTGTACTGGAAGAGGAAGTGCTGACATAATGAATAGTGGTGGAGCAAATCAACATGTGACATCAGGACAAGATTGTTAATTTCCTTCTGCAGGTGACCTCATTGGTACTGTCTTCAGTTCCACGTAAATGTGTGAATCTGAACTGAAGCTTATGATGGAAGTAGTGAATGATAGAATGTTAGTGTCTGAGTAGAAGTAATATTCTTGTATCATGGGCTTATTTACCTTCTCTTTTAGATTGCAGATTCAACTGTCACAAACGCTGTGCATCTAAAGTACCTAGAGATTGTCTTGGAGAGGTGATTTTCAATGGAGGTAAGATGAGAAACAAGCTTTCAAATACTGACAGATCTCTGGAGGTTTAACAATATGCATTAGCTTTTAGTTCCCTCATCTTTGAATATTTTACATATTTTTATTTTATCTTCCCATATTTTTCACCTGAGATCACTGACAATTAAAAATATTTGCTGTAAAACTGATACTCTGGTGAGTTAAATTTTACTTAATCAGTCTTGGCAAGTACAGTGTGCTTTGCTTGAGATTGCTCAAGGGAAATAAAATTTAAGAAGCCTTCTCAATGTACAAAAAATAAATATCTGTTGTGATCACTTTGCTCATTGTTCACCATGAAATGTATATTGTCGGACCAGAGGACCCTTCCGATTTCAATCATTCTGTGTTTTTATGTCTCAAAATCTTGATTCTTGGCACACATACTTTTGAGGGAAATAAAATTGACATGCAGAACATCACACCAAATGGTATGACCTGACTCAGGGCCTGGGCAGCAGCCCTGTTAGCTGGTGGGTCCGTTGTCATTGCACAATATATATCCCATCCATTCATGCCTGACTTCTCCAGCTCCAGGGTTCTTGCCTGGGTCTTGAGATTGGTGACTGTGAATACTGTTGTGTGGCATGTTGCTGCACTCTACTTTCACCACCCTTGTGATGCTAAGGTGCTAGGGCACACAGTCTGGGAGCTGTGATTTCATACAGTTCTTCTGTGGATGTAAGGAGTTGTTGTTTATTTTTTGTTCTTTTTCACACTATTAAATTGAGCTCTCCTCAAACAAAAAAAAGCTAGAAATGCAGGTATTTTTATGTCTTCATAGATATCCACAGTACAAGTTGTACAGCAGTGCCAACAGAGGGTCAGATAGGAATGTGTTCTTGCTTTTCTCCTTTCCTGCAATACCACAGCCCCTCTTCTCTGTCTAACTTTTGATATTATGGGCTACAAGGGTAGCGAGAGCAGAGTTGGGTTTCTGTTGATGGAGAGTTTAATTTGCACAGAAGTAATTCTCTGGGTCATCTCTAGCCATCAAAAGGTTACTTTGTACTCATTACTTGTGGAGCAGAATTACTTAATGAGATTTCCTTTTAGACCTTAAGCTTTTCACTCAATTTGTTTCAATATGATTCTTGTTTTAGTTAAGTCTCTCTGGCCTTGACATTTAGCAAAACCAAATAGATAATGTTCATTAGCATACTCTGCATCATTAAGCAAAAATTTGAGGATTTTGTATTTTCTGATTGTACTTCTGTGTTTACTTAAATAAACATGAACTGAAGAAGAAACGTTGCAGGGATTTTTGGGCTTTCTTCTTCTTTTTTTTTTTTTTTTTTAATTGTGTATTTGGAATAATATCTTAATCTCGTGCTGTTTCCAGAACCTGCTAGCCCAGGTCAGGACTTGGACATGCCAATGGAAGTTGATAGCAGTGAAATGAACAGCGATGGTAGTCGAGGTCTAGATGATACTGAAGAGCCCTCTCCTCCAGAGGACAAAATCTTCTTTATGGATCCATCTGACCTTGATGCAGACAAGGATGAGGAAGCTGTCAAAACCATTAGGTAATTCGTGAGGTGCATTTCTTTGCTCTGGATGTACTTGCCTCAGTATTGCAAGTAAAAAAATTTCTGATCAGCCCAGTTGTACTGCTCAAAGTAGGGTCTATATTTTTTTTTGTGGTTTTTTTTTTTTTTTTTTTAACTTGAACATGCTTTTTAAAGTTATCCTGTCTCAAGAAAAGCTGAAACATAAATAAAAATAGTCTCTTCTAATTAGGAGAGGTGCTGTGCTATGGCTATTACCAATGAAACAAAACCAGATTACCAAACATGGTAATATTTATGGCTCAATGAAGCTAAGACAGACTAATGTTTTTGTGACTTTTGCCTAATTTAGCTCCTGTTATATATGTGCTGATTTAAAAGGAATTATTCACGTTATAGTCTATATACATTTTATGCAGAAGTTGGCTTTATTTATCTTGAATGTGATTTTTCCAAAGTCTTCTATCTGATAACTTACATAACTCCTTTAACCTAGTGTATTCTTTTTACTTTCTGTATTATTCTGAATAATGTAATCCTGGTTTTCTTAAATCATTCTTAGTAACATAAAAGCAGTTGTGTTAGATTAAACTAAAGGTAATTTTAGCTCAGGGATTAATAATAAGTATGCAAGGAAGAGCATATAGTGATATGTTCCCAAGGTGATTTCAGTGATTCAGCTCAAGGACTTCCTGTGTTGGAAACAGCATCTTTTTTGTGTTCCCTCTCTAGATAGTATTTTTACCTTTATTTCTAATTGGATTCAGAGCAATTAAAGTTTAGCTTGTACAGCGTCCTGTGGCACCCAGTTCTACAGTGTAACTGTGTACTATGTTAAACCATCCTTACATTTTTGTTTTGAACCTACCTTGTGATCTTCAGTGTTTACAAACATTTCTGTTAGTGCCACATGTAGCACCTTATCAGTTTTGTCCATCAAAAAAATTTCAGGGGAGGAAAAGTTGCTTGTTCCTGAAAATTATTGGCTAAATGTGTAGTACCATTATACTTGTGATACTGTTGTATTTAAACTTGTTAAATATTAACTGATCTATCTTTTTTTAGTCCTTCAACAAGCAATAATATTCCTCTCATGAGAGTTGTACAGTCGATCAAGCACACAAAGAGGAAGAGCAGTACAATGGTAAAGGAAGGATGGATGGTCCACTATACTAGTAGAGACAATCTGGTCAGTTACTTAAGTTTCTTCCTACATTAAGTGAAATGATTTCTCTAAACTATTGTATTTTGTTTCTCTTATTTAGATATACAGTATCATTTGAAAGAGCTTAGTGATGATGTTCATTATAAGGAAATGGGGAGCAAAGGAGAAAGTATAGTTTATTAATAAATTTTTCCTGTGGTGATTTAACAGTACCTTTCTTTCTCCCTTTTAAGGAGAAGCATCTCTAAGTTGTTTCAAGTGAATTGCACATTGAAGATTTTGTTTTTCCTAAGATAATTTGAAATAAATTTGCTGGTGTCTCCTTTCTCTTTACCAGTTCAACTAAGTCTGTTTTACTACACGAAGAGGTGGAAATCATTATCGTATTATGAGTACTGAAGTGGTTGACATTATTATTCTAATGGTTTAGGTGTTTGTAAATATTTGTGTACGTTTGGGAGCCTTTCATTCCTCTAGCCATTCACTCTGTCTGAAAGTAAGCATTATTGAACATCATCTCCCCCAGACTCACTATTCATTGTGATGTCAGTGGAATAGACGAGTTATGGTTTGACTTTATGTCCTTGGATATGCAGGTATCCTCCAAACAGACTATATTGTTTGTTTCTTGTGCTACTGATATTGATCTATTAATTGAACCTTCTTAGGCAAGCTCCTTGGTTTTGTGTATTGAAAAGGAAGACAAGGAAGAATGCAACTAGGTTCCTTAGAGTTGTCCAATGGGAGGGAGTGTCTTTTGGTAGATGAACGAAACCAAGAAATTCCCAGATCTTGTGAAGACAGTGTGTCATATTGAGACTGTTCACAAAAGGCAGCATAAATACTTTGGTGTTCTTTGTCTCTATGCGGGAGTCTGATTGAAAGGAGACTTCAGGGATTTAGAGAAGGAAAGTTATTTAAGTTCAACTGAAATCAAGCTGAGGGGTGGTACTTGTCAGCTCAGGTTACTGTACTATTTTTACTTTTTGTGATTGGCAACTAAATTGACCACTGCAAGTGGTCTGTCAGAAACTGCCTTAGAAGAATTTTTTTTGAAGTACAGTTTTCTAATACCTAGATGTGTTTATCACAAACTGAAATAGGTATCTAGTATGTTTCAGATGAGATGCCAGCCACGGCTACTTAACAGACACAGTTACTGTCAGCTGGCTGTGGAAAAACTAAGGCCAGGTGGTAGATGAAGAGGAATGGTTCTAGCAGTGTTCAAGGCAGACTTGGTATTCAGCTCTGATTTAATCTTTTGGTATAGCCAGTACATTTTTCTATGGACTTTTTTGAATGTCCTCATAGAACAGTGATCAGATTTTACACCTTCGTTTAGTTTGATTTTCTTCAGTTGTCTATTTGGCTGCTACCTAGATGACATCTACAAAAAAAGGCCATTCATATGAAGTATTCTGCTCCAAAGCAAGGTATCTTCAGCCAAGCAAGATCAGAGCTTCCTAATGGGAGGAGACTTCCGTATTAGGCATTACAACATCGGCTATTTCCCTTGACCGCTCTGCTCTCAGCAGTCAGACTGTTTCCTATTCCTGGAACAATTTGGACTTTCTATCAGTTCCAAAGAGATTAATTTTAATAGCAGCATCTATATGCTTCTTGCTGACCCTGGATAACAAGATATTTCACCCTTTTATAATGAGAAGTTTCTGTATTGCCTTCTGTATTCTTTTCCTGACCCCGTCCTTTTTCACAATAGGGTGTGGGCAGATTTTCTATCCCTGCATAAGTTAACCAACCTGTCCCTTAATACCACCCCCCTTCTCTGAAGTCTTCCCTGATTAATGATTTAATAGAGAGGTTGTATGTCCCAAGGGCAGGTTCAGCCTTATGCTTTCACCCAGTTTCCATTCAGTGCTGGCTGGGAATTCCATGTAGTTAAAATTAATGACCTAGCTTTCTCTAATGCCTACAGGTAGTCTTAGCTTCCCCATGATCAAAGTGATTTAAGCTCTTCTATGTTATGTTTCAAACTTTGTCATCCCAGGCCAGAGTTAAGGGTCTTGGATTTTTGTCACAGAAAAATGAGAATGGGTTTTTAAATATGAGTGTGGTGCAAGCAAAGTGAGTTAGACTCATATCAGCTTTCTAAAAGCTGCTTCACTTTGAGAAATGTTCATCTGCTTACAATTACCAGACAGTTACATGCTACAGCTTATTCATATTACGTTTTGATGGAGAAGGTACTTCTTATTGGTGAAGACTTCCAGAAAATGGCTATGTAGTCTGTCTTGATTTTTATTTATTTTTTCGCAAATATATTTTGTCCACTTCAATCTCTTAATTAATTTGTTTTGCCACTGTGAGCTTTTGACCATCTAGAATTCTGTGTTGGTGCAATAATTATAGACTTGACATACTGGGTCAGTCTGTGAACCCTTGTAATGTTGATGTGAGGACACAGGGAGAAAGTGTCATTCCCATTATGTTGCTAAACTAAAATGGTTAAATTTTTGTGAGCACATTCACATGGAGTGAAAACTGTGT